AATAAGTAGTGCTGGGAGCAAGGTTTAGATAGCACACTCTGAAATTTTCAGTAACAGGAAAAGAAATCACTTTGGATACTTTTTATATCTATCTGCATTTTCTCTTAGGTATGGTAAACACGTAAGTCAGCTCCTCTTTTCTTCCTTTACCTCTTCAGTCTTTCCAGGACTGCTTCACTGTAAGCATAACAAAAAAAAAAAAAAAAAAAAAAAAAAAAAGAAAAAAAAAAGAAAAAAAGAAAAAAGAGAAAAATTAAAAGCCCAAAAAAATGCTGATACCAATTTCATGATTCTTTTAATCCTGAAAATTGCTTTCTCCTCCATTCTTCCAGCCTCACTAATTGAAATGCTCCAGGGAACAGTCCTTGTGGAAGTAAGAAAAAGCACCTGATTTGTACTTGCATTGCATGTCAAAATAAAACCTTAGATGCTTAAGACAACAAAAATAGCACTGGGATTCTAAGAAAATACACTGATTTTTGCCATCCATGCTGCTATCAAAATACGTATAGCAGACTCATCATCTCACTGAAGAACTCTAGCTGCAGAACACAGTTTTTGCACTAGAACTACTGTAACCAACCAAGAAAAAGACCTATCAGTACTCTATATTCCCTAAAAAAAAATTTTAAAATTTTTTTAAAAATCCCCTTGACTTATGGCATTTCATCCTGAATGAACAGGTCTATATGAATGCAATGACACTGAAACAAACTTGATGGCAGCAAACTGCCTAGTGAAACTGGAGGTACTTCAAATGCCAAACCAAAAAGCTCTCTAGGACTGGAACAGAGGATCAAGGTGACATGATTACAAAAACAAGAAAAAACAGCTGGCTAAGAGAGACTGATCCAAGTGTTGGTGCCTAGTAAGAGTATGAAGCTACAGAAAGGAAAAGAGTCTGAAGGCCCTGAAGTCACAAGATCAAGAAAATTGTACATTTCCTGATGGGAAATATACAAGAGAAAGAACAAACAAAGAAACATTACCTGTGGCATTGAAGAAAAATAAAATTTGCAGTCAACTTTGACAGGTATCCAACACTGAAGTTCAGCTAATGTTCTGGGGAGGGAAAAAAAAAAAACCCAAAACAAATCCAAAAACCTACAGACCCCATAACTTTACATGCAAGTTATAGTGAACATTCATATACAGTGTGTTGTATAGCTATGAAGTAAAAAGATATCTCTTATGTAACTTATACTTTGTCAACGGAGAATTAAAGAAATGTATTCCTTTAAGGAATAAATTCACTACAAAGGTCTTCCTAAAAAGGGAAGAAGGAAAAATAAAATGTAATTGCTTCCTAGAACTGGTCCCTGGTCAAAAGGGACACACAGAACTGTACATAATCACCTGCCAGCCCTCCTGCTGAGAAAGCTTTAACTTCTTGTACTACTGGATTTGACTCCTACTCCTGTCAACATTATCTGACTCCAGGAGCACGCTCTGAGGACCACTTACACAGTGAGACATCATGGCACAGAACTGCAAGTGCCAGAACTTGACCCTTACAATGTATAAAGGATCAGATGACTAAAACATGTAAGCACATGTCCATTTTCCTTGAAGTCTACAGGTACATTCACATGTGAATGACTTTGGGATGAGGAAAATCTGAAAAAAAATCGACAAAAAAAAAAAACAACTTTGAATTCTATTGAATAAGGAGTATCCCTGTGCTTTCTGTATATCTTTCCACAACTGTGTAATTCTTGGCACTTAGTAAGAAATACCCAGCATGGTGCTGGACTGTTCCTCATAAGAGCTGATTATGCTCCCACAGCCACTTAGAGGAAGATTTAGAAGTATGAAATAAGTACCAACACACCTACATTTTCTCTTCATCTTTTTAAGTAGAAAAACATCAGCTTAAAATAAAAAATACATCTGGCAAACGAAAATTAATTTATTATGCTTAAAATTATTTTAGCCACTCAATTTGCCTCCCAGTCCTATGTGCAAAAGGCCAACTACCAGCAGTGCCTGCAGCACCAGCTAAAAGCACGAGATTTACGCTGGCACTCTTATTAGAGCTGAGGTAATTTAAGAGGAATGTCAGCACAAATTTACTTTTCAAACTTTATTACTCTGCTCTAAGAGGAGAAAGAATGCCTGCTATTGTAATTTTTAAAATATTTACAAAATCTTTGGTATCTGATTTTAGTTGCACAGAGTTAAAACCAAAACTCTTAACATCACCTCACATCATGTTTCTTTCAGAAGAAAACAGAGCATAAGAATAAGAAAAATCGTATTTCATGAAAATAAAGTTTTTAAAGAGAAATGTGATCACTCTTCACTTTAGATAAAATTCAGGGCTACTGCTGAATTAAAAGGAGCTACATATAGACTGCTCTGCAAGCTGTAAGCTTGTGAATCTTCCACAGGTATCTGAGCCATTCAAACCCACTTCCCTTTGAATGTGCAGGTTCCTACCATGGAGAGGCAAAAGAGGATGAAAATCTCAAGCTAATCACATCTATGCCAGATGCATAACTTTAATCCTGAACCAGAGGCCACAATCTCACCCTCCTGTCTGCAGATTGAACTTCCTTCTCTTCTTTTGGTAGAGAACAATGTAACCTACTTTTAAATAATCTTTATTCCTCTTAAAAGAGAAGGATGATGGAACTGTTCCGGTGGCCATTCAGCAGTGACCTTTTCTCACACCACAGAGACATTTCAAAAATCACCTCTGTACCACGAAGGCCTTCCAAAGTCATCCCTAGCAGACATGTATTTTATTATTACAGAAACACAGGAAAGAAATTAAGAAGTTGAGCAGAATACAGAAGCAAAAGGTGGCCACGTGGCAAAGAGGCAATGTACTTTCCGACTTTGCAAATGGCAGGCAACAGAAAAACCACTGATGTACCATTATACTTTTCCTATTAAACCAAACACGTTTTTGAATGTATCTATTTGTAATAGCAGCATTAAGGATTAAAACAAAAGCCCATCCTGCGCAGTCAAAAAGGAATTCTAACAGAGGAAACCAAATGAAGAAACAATGATTTATTTGCTCTATCCCCTCCTGCTCTGCCTAATGCCTGCCGTTAGGAAGGCACAGTCCTCAGGTGGTGGTGCCACTCAGCCCCTGCTCTCTCAGACAAGGCTCCCAAGATGATGCCATTTTGAGGTAGACACCTGTCCACTGGCAACAAGCGTGAGTGCATCAACTGCAAAACGAGGCTACCACATGGCAACATCTTTCAGTCACTACAAAACTTGCTTCCAAATTGAAACAGCTACCAAGAGGTGAAAAGCTCCATATCACATTTCTAATCCCTCCTCTCTGCAATTTTTTTTTTAACTTTGCAGTGATTCCTATAAGTTTTCCTGATCTTCTAAAACTTGATCCCTCAAATACATTCCCCAAATTGTTTTGACTTCCATGTAGTGAGGATTTTTACAATGCACATGAGAAATATTCTGCTGCTCATTATCTATTTGATAATATGCACTTAAGAAGAAAGGTCAGATAAAAATTGGTATAATGTGGAGCTCTAGTGGTAGTGAAGAAGTAAAGCAGCATATAACACCCACCATGGAAAAGTAGATATTGACCTTTAGTAGGAAAAGAGTAAGTGAAAATATCATAACAGATGGATTTAAACAAGGAAAATTAAAAAGTGAAAGATCTTAGCATCAAATTAAACATAACTTCATGCTCACAGAATGCATCACTCCAAACAACATGATGAGTAACTCTCATCTCTGTGCACAAACTTGCATCTTGTAATTCAGTGCAGTTAAGCAACAGAAAAAATAAGATCAGTTTGCTTATGTTAGCCCCAAAAGAAAAAAAAATATATATCCTATAGCAGGAAACAAATGTTCCTTACCAAACCTAACGGGGAGTTGAGTAATTCTATGCACCCTTTTAACACAGACCTAGTCAGATATATCGTCCTTCCCATGATAGCCATGGCAACTCCTACACCAGCAAGTAAGTACTCTGTTCTCAGCTGGATCATCACAAAAACAGTGTACTAACCACTGCAGGCAGCTTTAACAGAGATTTGGTAGTCCCTTCAGACTGATGAGCTTGGCAGGAATTGAATCCTAAACAAGGAGAGCTCCTTCCCTATATACAAGTACTATCACACATCCTGCTGGCAAGCATAATCAGCTTAAGTCCTGTTGACAGTCTGATATTCCACCTGTAAAGGAGATGGTTTTTCATACGGAGTGAGAGGATATGCACAGCATCCTCTGCATCCCGTATGCCTCATCACAGGGGATGCTGAAACTCCTACACCCCCCGTGAAACACCGGCATTATTTTTACTCCTAAGATGCTAAATCAACTTGGATATACATTAAAAGTAGTTTCTAAAGGTAAAACAACACTGACAGTCACCAGACTATCAAAAAGGAGCACAAAGCCCCCAGAAACATTGCAGCGTGAATGTACGAACAACTGTGCAGTACTAGAAGGGCCCATTTCCAAAGTCAAGCAATATCCCTGGTTGCACAAGCACACACAGTTTTGAACCTTCAGTAGGAAAAACCTGCAATTCTTTCTTAGGGAAACTACTTTCCACCAAGATTACAGGAAAACGAGACTGAAAAAAGCTCATGTACTGCTAACTTGCAACAGACCCTCCACCTATTTCAATCCATGTTATAAATTGTTCAATATTTTTGCTAGGGACTTTCGCTCTACTTCCCAAGTTGAGCACACAGTGCCTTGATTCAGTACTACCTCACTTAAGACAGAATATATTTCATCCACTAGAGTAGATTAACTTCTTCGCAAGTGTTCTTGTTTGGAAACATCCAGCCTAATGAGTGGGTTTTATTAGCATTAATGCCAATCTAGTGACACAATGAAAACAAATCATTCTGGGCTTTACACCTTTTCCACCCAAGGAACAGCTGTTGATTGAAGAAGTATCCCCTGGATCCGACTTAAGTGTATTTGAAAAACCTGGGATACCAAACACGCCGGAGTTAGAAGCCTCCGAGAGGAGATTTCCAAGCTGTGCCTGTTACCTGGTGGGCAGTTGCACTCTGGAGCCGCTTCTCTCGCTACTCGTATCTTTGCCAAGTGCTCGTAGGATTTCTGGGGGCGAGAGAAGCAACATGAGGGCACTTGGCGAGCGAGCCCCGTCACGGGCAGCGCTCCCGACCGCGGCCGCAAACTGGAATTTACCGCTGTGCCAGAGGCACGCACCAGCGGGGGCTTCTTGGCTTGGACTCGGCCTAAGGTGTCTGGGTGACCTCACCACCCCAACACCAACAAAGCAAAGCCCGACACTTCGGGGTCTCTCCCACCGCCGCCGCAAGTGACTCCGGTCCTTCTGCCTCCTCGACACCCGCAGCCGGGAAGCGCAGGGACGGCGGCAAGTCACAGATGAGCACAGCGCCTCGGGGGCGGCGAACGCAGGGGTCCCCCGCCATCCCCATCCCCATCCCGCCCGCTCCAGCAGCCCGGGGCGCCCGCCGCCCCCTAGGGATGCGGGCTCACTTTCGCCGCTTCTCCCTTCACCTCCCACCCGAGCAGCTCCCCCCGGCCGCCCCCCTCATGGCCTCGGCCGCCCCCCGCCCCGAGCATCCCGCACGCCCGCCGCACGGCAGCGGCCACCCCCGTCCCGCACACCTGGGCGAGAAGTCGCTCCACTTTCTCCTGCATCATCGCGTTCAGCTGCTCCAAGGAAAAGCCGGGCAGCGGCGGGAGCGGGGCGGCGGCAGAGAAGCCCCCTCGGGCGCCTTCGATGGCCGCGACCCTGGCCTGGAGGTCGCTGGTCCGCACCCCCAGGTAGACGCAGGAGGCCGCGGCCAGCGCCGAGAGGAGCGCGGCCAGCGCGGAGCCGACCGGCCCGGCCCGCCGCGGGCAGCGCTCCCCGCCGCAGCCGCGCTTCCCGGGGCCGGGCTTCCCGCTGCCGCCGGGCTTCCCGTTGCCATCCTGTCCTGCGGCTCCTCGGCTCTTCCCCAGCGTGCTCGCACACCCTTCAGCTGCGGCAGCTTTGATTTCCTTTCCTCCGCCCCCCATGGAGGCAATTAGTTTACAAACAACGAAAACAAAAAATAACGGCAACGAAGTAGGAGAAAATAAATAACAAAATGGCAAAACAGTGATCGGAAAGAAGGGGGGAAAAAAAAAAAACCCGCGGCAAGTAGAAGCCAAGCCCGCAGCCGGCTCCCGCACCTGGAAGGCGAAGCGGCGGCGCGCTCCGCACCGCGCACCGCCCGGCAGCGGGTCGCGACCCACCCCGCGGCACAGGCGGCGAGCCACAGGCCGGCAGCGGGGCTGGGTGCGAGGCGAGCCCCCGCGGCTTCCTGCCGCCCTTCGGAGGGAGCAGCGTGCTCTGCGAGCGCTTTGCCACTTGTCAGAGAGGTTTTCAGGCGCGGGGCGGGAAGCGCCCCCCCTCCGCCTCCCGCTCCCCTCCCCGCCGCCGCCGCCGGAGGACTTGTTGCTCCCGCTCCACCTGCCTGCCGGCGCCCAGCAGCCGCGCCGCGCCAGGCGGGGAAGCCCGCAGGCGGCAGGCAGCCCGCGCTGCCCCGCTGTCAGCCGCGGAGCCGCCGCCCCGCATCCCCGCCCTCAGCGGCATAATTTATTCACCTAGGCGCAGGGGCGGCCTGCGGGCCGCGGGGGGCTCTCTTTACTTAATGTATGCAGGCAGTGCAGGACATCAGACTCACAAATTCGGAGGGCGAGGGTCGCAGAGGGAGGGGCGGCCGCGCCGGGCGGTGCTGGGGAAGGGGCAAGGGGCAGCTGGGCGCGCCGGGGCAGCTCCGGAACACCGAGCAAATTTACTGTGGTTTATGGATGGGCTGTCATGCCCGCGGTGCCGGCATAAAGCACGGGAGCGATCCGCTGTCCCGTTCTTTTTTTTTGGAGTGCGGAGGATAAACGTGTATAACTCACCGTCGCAGGCAGGCGACGCGAGGGCTCGCTTCCAAAGAAGCAGCCTGCACTAACTTCTTATTGTATGAAGGTTTAATTTCAGCCAATTTCCTTTCTGCTCACTTATTTATCAAGTCGCTTCTTCGCTGTTCCGTGCACACTGGGCAGTTTTTATTTGGGCTGTTTTGGATGACTAGAAAAGGAGCATCAACATCCAAAGAACTGCAGGTGTGGCCTGATGGGACTTGGTTTCTGGTCCTTCTCTCTCTGCCTCTTACTGCCCAAATGCTGCATTGACCTGCTGCAGTTTGGTTCTCACCTTGGCATTACCCCAGTGCATCTCCTACAAAGCGCTTTTGTGCAACATTTATTGTGTTTGGTACACTTTTTGAACCAGAGAAACTTCTCAAAGCAGGACCAGATTTTGAAAGATCACATAGCTCACCCTATTTAGCATTTACTTATGTGAGCACTGACTACTTAGAAGATAATGGGATGAAAGAGATTTGGCCAACTATGGCACTTCTCAGACAAGATCAAGAGTGTTGGTTTATATCATGAATCAAGTTTCCTTATGGAATCATATTTGTGCAGCTTTATTACCTATTGTTTCCCAAGTATTTGAGCAGTCACAACAGCCATGAAGACATGGATCCAAAAAAGCTCTGTGGGTTTCAGTCTAATGACTTGGAATTTGAATAAAGTGTACCAGAAGTTCATAGCCAGTAGTTTATTCTTCATAATTTGTCTCTTTTTTCTAAACAAAAAGTTTTGTGTACTCCAGTCAGAGAGAAGAAAACATGATTACATAGCCCTAGGTGATAGTTTCTTCACAATAAACAGTTAAGAGTTGCAATGGACAGTTTACAAATTCCACCAAGCAGCACATACCTTATGGTCAGGACTTGGGAATAACAACTGCACTTTTCGAAACAACGGCTTGCTCACAGGCTATCTGCCGGCAACAAGGAATTGAAATAATATTTGGAATTAATAAACTGGCAGCAGAAAATAAGTAATACCAACATGCTCTTATTTGGCGTGCAGCATGGGCTCCCTGAGTATGGTATGAGCAGTGCCCAGGCTGCCTCGGAGTGGCTGGCAGCACACGAAACGCTGGAAGCCATTGGCGTCAGCTCCAGCACTTCACATTACCCCCTGTTGCGAGTAGCCAGCACCATTACTCAGCCCTGCTCGTGGTGACATCCAGCAAAGTAACCCTGCAAACCCTCAGGATATGATTGTCATTTTCTGCAGGGGGTTAGTGAGGCGCCGCTGGGAGTAGGACGGCTGCCCGCAGCCCGCTGCTGCCTCACAGCAGCACTGCCTTGCTTGTGGTGAGCAAGTGGGTGCTGCTTATCTGGGCCAGGGTGACATTTCCTCCCGGGATCAGCTCTTCTTATTTCAGGGCAGATACAGACATCTCTATCTGTGGGGCTGCTTCAGTGCCCCACATGGGGCACAGACAACCACGTACCCACAGGTCAGTGTGACGTGGCTCAATGTTTTGCTTGGCCAAATGGTGCAATCCTTCTGCCTGAACATCTTTCTATCCCAGCATCATGCCATCCATTTGTTTTGGACAGGGCATATTCTACATCAGAAATTTAATAGCCTGAGACAGAAAGTCCCATGTTACATTACATTTGCACGTCCTTGCCATCATAAAGATTGCCAAATGAGCCAGATTACCATGTTTCTGTGGGGCACAATCCAAAGCCATTTTCCTACTGAACAGCAAAACTCACGCTAGATGTTTCTTATTCTGAAGAGATATGATGGGAAATCTTTCTTTTTTTCTGTCTGGGACAAACAGAAAAATCTGCCAAACTAGAATCAAAGCCTGAACTGGGAAAGCAAAAGTCTAAAATATCCAAGAAATTGCTTTCATGCTCTTTCTCACAATGGGTAGCTATACTTCGACACAATTGGGAGAAATGCTAGCCCTGCCTGGTCTCACCTCAGAAAAGCGACAAGGCCCATGCGCGTGTGTACATGGGTCTGATCAAACATATCCTCAGACAAAGGGAAAGATGATGAAGAGTGAGAGGAGAAAGACCATTGTCAAGTCTTCCTCCTTGCTCCCACTTAAAGTCACATTTTTCTTTTTGCTAAAGCTTGGGTCAGGGAAAGATGTCAGCTGAAAGTTTGTTAAAATGCTTAGAAATTACTTGATAACGGCAGAGTTTGAGAACAAATTATTTCCCATAGTTTTTTTCCTAAAGTGTTTTCACCTAGAAACAGATAACAGAGAGTCTTTGAAAATGCAAACTAGCAATGTCCTCTGCTTGCAGCAAGCCATGGTGATTTTCCTGATGGAGGCATTATTTATCCACTTCACAGCAAGGTTGGTCCGGAACAGACTGGACTGGACTGCAGAATCAGAGCAGCAAGCTAAATTATGCACAGAGTCTGATTAAATCTAGCACAGGAGTTGTTTGTGTAGGCAAAGAATATAACACAGATGTTTTACCTGTTATAAAAATCTCCGGTCACGTCTGCCCGAGTCGAGAGCGTTAAAGCAGCCATACCCCCTCCCATGCTCAGTTACTTGATACCATCAAGTGGACAACCGGCAGCTTTGCAGTACGCTCGTCCCATCTAAACACAATAAACCAGAGGAAAAAAAATGTTAAGGAGCAGAATTTGCTGCTTTTGCCAGCTTTCCACAAGCGGGAGGCAGAGCGAATCCAGGACATGCATATGTTCAGTGCCAGTGAGCCTGCTTCTTATTTTGCAGCCATGATGATGCCAGAGTCAAGAAGGCATCTACTTAGGATCATAACTAAGATTAAAACCAGATTGCTGTAGCACTTTTGAGAATGCTATCCATGCAATGAAAGAATGGGGTTTCTTTTTTTTCCCCCTCTCTCTCTTAAAAAAAGCCACTATACTTTTAATGTTTTTTATTGGTGAAGATTTATAGGTCTTGAATTAGAGGGAATAACTTGGTCTAACGAGTTAAACTCCTTTTCCAGGAGTAAAGCAGACAGCAGTTCATATGGGCAAGCAGTAATTTAACTGCTTGCTGCCAGGAACTGTATCTCATATGTTGCTGGTCACATTTAAGATATTACACTATACAGGCTTAGGTTACAGAACACTTAAAATGCTTTAAAATCCTATTTTGTATCTGATAGCCAGAATACAGCAGCTCAAAGTAATAACCATACACCAGGTATATGCTAACACGTATGGGTAGAGTATAAGAAATGGCAAATCTGCAGCACTCCTACTCAAACAGTAGCAAAAGGAGGAGAATTTTTAGCAAGGTCTGCTGAAGTGCTCCTGCACACAGACCTGAGGCAGCCACGCCTCCCACCAAGAGGGAAGTGCTCTCACTTTAGAGATTGGAATCTCTAAAGGCCACGTTTCAGCAGATCTTGTGTATGACCAGGCCAAAGGTATTGACACAAGATGCTACTGTTTGCTTTTCATGGGCCTGTGTTTGAAGATGGTGATGGTGTTTGCAGATAACAGTTTTCCAATAGACAGGACTAGTGTCTGGAGTTCTTTCCATATTTTTATGTCTACAGCACTCTGTATTCTGGCTGACCAATCCACAGTCCACTACTAGATTTCTTTACCAGACACAACATAAACTCGTGACTACAATTGTGCAAAAACAGATGAGTGAGAAACAAGCATTCATCTGCTGAAACAAGCCATGTTCAGTTTGTGATACATATTGCATATATGATCAGGAAGGGCAGAAGGCAGAGAATAAATACAAATAGGGACTGGAGTCTAGGACCTTGAGTTTGAGCTGAGGTGACACACACAAAGCTAAACGCTCGAATGGTTAATAATGGTTATGCAAACCCTTCTTCTGCAAAGGTTCCCACTTTCAAAGGGAGCTTATATATTATTCATTCTATGTGGAGCTGAATTGTATCTGCATTCTGTTTCTTCCTCCATTCATCTCTTTCCTGCTCAGTTCAGCCTTCAAATTGGAGTGCATCTTGCACCCAAAATGAGATTTTCCTCAACTTTTGTATACTTACATGGGGAAAATGCAAGGTGGGAGCAGAATCCAGCACTTCTCTCACTTCTTAGCTCCCTGGCAGGTTAGGTAGTATGGTAGTTCTCATCAACCTGTTCATAATATCTGCCAATATAGCTCAGAATCACCAGAAAAACAACTT